AGCTGTCCCTATTTTAAAGACAGTTTTAACTACCACCACTATATATTAATTCCTAATATATAGTTAATCCTTCTTTTCCGCGTAACATCCAATTTGAGCATCCTAATTATTTGCTGATCTAAACAAAATTATTTTCAGATCTATATCTAGCTAAATTTTTACATATTTCAACAGAATCGGTTCTTTTCGTGTAATATATAATAGTTTTTTGAAATATATTTTGTTACATTGGCTTTAGTAACACATACATTGGTTTTATCATATATAATATCATATATAATATTATATTCCATTCCCAACTAAATTCGTCGAGAAGAAACTCTGACGCGAGAAACCATAACGCGGATGGTCTGAAAATGTTCGCTATTATGTATGCGTCGCACAAAGTTCCTTCTTCGGCAGGCAGGCTTTTGTGAACGATGATTAAGCGATTAAATGATCTCCAGGGCACTAATGTAATCCGCATTAACGCGAGAGATCAGCAAACAAATTGCGTATTATACGTGAGATCTCGGCTTTCCCCCAAAACGGTAATTTCCGGAGCAGGAGCAGCTTATGGCTAATGTAATGTGTCTTAATGAGGAACGATATTACACGCGCGTGAGGCCCTTCTTGTTCACTTAAATCACTATCGACGGTGCCTGATGAGGAAATTGGTATACTCCGTTTCATCATAATTTCAACGGATTTGTTCTGAGTATGACATAATGCAATTTGACGTAACTTGACGCGCAAATATACATTTGCATAGCATAAATAGGCTTGTGCTCGTTTATTAATACGTATCACATTTGACGCGCGCGCGACATTATTCGAAAATTACGCAATACGACCTTCCCTCTACGATAATTTATTTATATACTGTCTTTTCCTCACCGTCTTTTCCTCATTTATAAAGTTTAAACGTGAAACATCGTGATAACAAGTTCAAATTTTGTTAAGTAAAATTAAAGTTAATATTAACTGAAAGCTCCTGGAAGATAGAGATTAAAATCTGTTAGATGAAAATGGAATTAATTCAACGATCTTTTTAGTTTAAAATTAATTGTTGCGTTAATTTTAATTTCTAATTTTCAATTATTAGTTTTCTGGAAAATTAGTAAATAAATGTTTACAATATTTTTATTATTTACTACTGATACCTCGTTTTTATTCCGTCTGTTATTTGACTCTTACATAAGTATGTATGTAACTATTTATTTCTTTTATGTAACTCTGTTATTATAACCATTCTTTTATGCAACACATTATTAATATTATTATAAAAAAACTTATTTCATTACTTCAATTTTGAGAGCTAACAGTCTTCCGTTTTATTTTACAAAATTTTATTTATTCCAAACAATTTACAGGTATATCGAACATATCGATCTTCCTTTCGTTGAACAAAAGACATTTAATGTTGCCAGAATATACGACGGAAGTACTTAGCTGAAAAATGCTCACAAAAATGAATCGAATTTTCTGATGGTAGATAACTCTGACAGAACGGGAGTTCGGAGGCTGTAGAGCTCAGCTCATTTTATTGGATCCCCGGGTTATCTTGGCCCGGTTCGAGAAATAATGCCATCCAATTGAACCTTCCCTCTGTTTGTTTGAGTTGTTTGACGAAGAAAAACGACACTCGCCTTCGCAAACTGACGCTGGCAAGCTGGCTGGCATGGATTCCTATGTCTTCCGGATTCTCGTACGTCACGATTGTCACGAATTTATCGCGCAACACTGGATATCGAATTAATACAAAATCGAAAATATAGACAAACCGATTACTTGAACGACTATCGTATCTCTCTCTCTCTCTCGCTCAGCTTCTATAAGCCCAATGTATTTGCGCACAAAAAAAGCTTTTCTGCTCGCATATTTTCAGTAATCGAGGCTTGACGTAAGAGCTCTTACGTATTTTCCACCCTCCCATCACGGTGAAATGTAAACCACAATAATATTGTTTTGAACAATTTCATTTTTTTAAATAGTATAAGTTTGATATATTTTCTCAAATATAATAAATTCGACATACGCAATAAATAATGGAATTAATGGAATTTATTCGTAACAGTTTTTTATAATTTATTATTGAAAATTGCCTAAATAAAAACAAATAAAAACAAATAAAAGAAAATAATGTTTAATATTAATAAATCTTATTCTGAATTTTAAACATTGTGTGATAATATTTTCGCTACGAACAATCATTTTCTAAGCATTGTTATAAAGAAAAATGTTTCTTGTTGAAACCTGTATAAATAGATAGATACGTCTTGACGTTTGATGTATTCCTCTGTGTCAATAAAAAAAGATGTATTCTTTAATAGATTCGCACCCCTTACAAAAATAATATATAGCGTGTAGACAAAGATATATCGCAAGTGACGACAATGATCTTTCCATCACCACAATATTTCTTGATATAACTATTTATTCGAGATTCTTTAGACATTTATCATACGTCAAGCATCTCAAATAAATTCGATCAAATATGGAAAAAGAAACTATAGCTAATATTATCAGAAATTGAATGAAAAATATATCCTTAATATATATCTGAATAAAAGAATACTCGGAGACATTTAAATAATAAAAGCAAAAATAAGATATAAATAAATAATTCAATAAAATTATGAATTGCTTTTTAAAATAAAAGATATTCTTTTAAAAAGTTCTTCATATAAAGTATCTTGTTACATTGTTTTTAATAATAATTAGTAACACTATATGTGATATTTTATTAATAAAAAATTACATAAATTTTAAATATGTTTAAATATGAATAAACATGTATAAATATGTGAATAAATATTTTCTGAATATCTGGAGTTAATTATTTCAATGTTTTAGTCAAACAGAAACCGTTAATACTGTGATTTGTACCAACAGTAAATAATAATCGGCATAAATATAAATATAAATATATGAATAAATATAAATATATGAATGTATGAATATATAAATCTCACTAATAATTAATATAATATGATAAAATAATATCAGTATTTGAAATGTTGTTGCTACAGTTGTTGAGGAAAAAATTCTTATTCACATATAGTCAAGTAAAAAGTTCGCATCAAAATACTGCTGCGCTCTGATCGCGATTCCACAATATTCTACAATAATTTATTAAGAATGTCGTTTTTAGATACGCGAGATTCTAATAAAGAGACAGTTCACCAAAGTGATCGAGTAAATAAGGCCTTATTAGGAAGTAGAGATCTCACAAAGAGAGAGAGAGAGAGAGAGAGAGAGAGAGAGAGAGAGAGAGAGAGATAGAGGGTCACGCTATCATGACGCTATAGTGATAGCGACTCGAGAGAGAACTCTTTACACGCTCTTTGACAATCTTCTCCGTCCCTTTTCTAGACCGCGAAGAGGTCATTCGAATCGTCCATAAAAGGATATTTCAAAGTTCTCCGCTGGCGGTATTGGATAAGATCGACGAAAATATTGAATTTTCCTCAATCGAATGCTACTCTAGATATATCCAAAATAATGTTTACCGGAGCCAATTTCCAGCGAAGGTGGAAAAACGCAAAAGGGTGTAATTTTACTTTTGACCGCCAAGTTTCTTTCTCCAGGAACGTCGCTTCTGATGTATCAAGACTGCAACGATGCCTTTGACAAACAAATCGACCTAGACGGTAAAGGGCTGCAACCGCGTCGTTGCATTCCCGCGTTGAATTTGCTGTTGTAAATTGCGTGATTCCATTGGCAGTTTGCCAATGCAGATCTTTCTGTTACCGAAACAAGATGGAATTTTCAAAATTCCATTTTCAAAATGGAATTTTAATTTCCGTTTAAACCGTTCGTTTTTATCATCAGTTTATTCATGAAATATCTTAAATTTCAAGAAATAAGATTTATGAATAAAATTAAAAAATAATCATTTAAATCTGTTAAATAGAAAAATAGATGATAATATCTAGATGTCATGTAAATTTAATCTATGTTATAGTAATATTTAATAAAAATTCCCTTCTCATTTAGTTTTTAGTAAGAATTATTATTTAATTTATTATTTAATTAGATATATTCCAGATATAGATACACTCTAGATCAAAAGTTAGGAAATACTTTTAAAAAATTGACATTTTTTTGGATTATTTACTCAACTATTCATAATAACATATTTTTTAACTATAAATAATAATTCTTCAGATCCAATAACAGTTATTGGATTTGAAGAATTATTATTAAAAAAAATTGTAGATATTTCAAGTAATTCCAAAAATGTCAATTCATAAAAAGTGTTTCCTAGCTTTTGGCCTTGAATGTATATACACAAAAATAAACTTAATAGAGAAAGGTCGCCGTCATACCACTTCAGTTTTAGAAAATATTTCTTAAATAAAAATTAAAAATAAAACAGAAATATAAATACAAACTAGAAAATTGTATCTTCTATTAGATGATACAGACATCTAGAAGTATAAAAGTAAATATTTTTAAAAGATAATTAAATTAAAATGAGAATATTTTCATTTAATCTATAGAATTGTATTGTTAAATATTATAAATATCTTTTTAAACTA